TATTGGGCGATGATTTTTGCATCTATTGGCGGTGCTTAACGCATCTATTGGCGATGCTTTATGCATCTACTGGATATACCCGGGAAGTACATGACTTGGCAAATTAAAGGCTAAAAGACACTTAATCTGGCTAACCCATTGTGCGTATTGATATGTGTACTGGTTTGAATGTGATTGATTAATGGAGTATGCATGGATACATGTATGAAATGCCTTAGCAAGGTTAATACGGTGTGTATGTGTGCATGATTGATCATGGGAATGTGAATAATATAATGAACTGTCTATTGGTATGACTGAAAATGAGTGAGCTGATGTTACTTAGCATCGTGTTATGGTTCATGTTATGTGGATTTTGATGAGTATATGTGAATGAGTAAATGGTGCTCTAGCACCAACATGTGATTTCCCATCATTATAGGTGTTTAGTAGCGATATCCTATTATAGATACTGAATAGCGATATCAGGTGCCTTAGCACCGCGATAAGTTGGTAGTGAAGTGACTGCTACTGAATAGTTAAAGAGAGAGTTCTTCCATTGATGATTGAATTTATAATTGGATACCGAATTGTTATAAATGGAAGGATATGCATAGAGAATGGGCAGTAAATGACGTGTAATTAAGGGTATCATGCTAAATACCACTTGTGTATTTTTGTTTATTTATGTTTAGAATTTACTCACTGAGTGACGACACACCCTTCGTCAAATATTTTTCCCAGATCCAGAGCACCTACAAGAAGTGGTAAAAGTAGAAACAGTGGCTTCAAGCTTCAAGTTTTGAGTCATGAGGTGGGCGGAAGACTGAGCAAGTTTCCACATGAAATCTACTGTCAAACGGTTTATCATTCTGTACTTGATTTGTAAAGTTTTTATATCAGGCCCGAAAACATTTTATAAGTTTTAAAGCATATGTTTAGATAGGGTGTTACATCTATCGACTATCCTAGATTCTTGGACGGGTTTTTTCAAGACTATTCTTCACCAATTTGAAGGTTTTTTTAATAATTAATCAAAATTATCATTAAGCGCCAGGATTCCCTAAAACCAGGGATCCTCTCAAAAGTACATGTTTACATACTATAGAATGATATTATATCACTCGGTAACTCTATTTGTGAAACAAACTATAAAAAACGAGAGCAAGGGAAATATTTTTGAACACCATACAATCAAATGTAGGGAAACATTATCGAATGCGAGTTACTAATTAAGGAGGGGAGAGGATGGATCCTTCACCATTGAACCTCCCTACATCTTTCTTTCCACACATGACCAATGACAAACCTCCAAAACATTCTGGCAACATAAGCCCTATTGGCTACTGCTACTCCCGCACCACATCCTCAATGACCAAAACAAACAGATGTTCCAGTCAACAAGAGGAGGGCCTAAACAACAAGATGCAGAAACAGGTTTTCCCAAGAGATGAGCTTATGAGATGTCGAGATTCTATTATGGACAATCATCCATGCAAGAATACAATATTTGGGAATCTGAGGCTTCTCCCAAACAAACTCTGCCCAGCTCACCTGAGGGTAAGGAACTCTGATGCTCTGCCACACTCTAGTAACCGAGTAGCGAGACATAACACTGCCATCCCAAAGTAGAGAAGGAGCAGTACCTGTGATATGCTTGCCAACCAAAGTCCTCATCTTCAAGATATGTTTCCAAACCCAAGAACCAATAGAGGTATCCGAGACTTCTCAAATAGATTTGGTCTTGAGCCAGTACCTTTTGACCCATGCAATCCAAATAGAGCCACTGCTAGCAAGAATAGACCACACAAATGCTTTATCACACAAGGTCGATTCCACATAAAAAAAGTCCTTAATACCTAAACCACCTTCAAAATGCAACATAACATCAAATGATCAAGCCATTGGGGCTTTGGTCCTAGTACTTCCTTCCCCTTCCAACACTCCCCACAAAAAATTATTGCAAATATTCTCAATCTCCTTTAAGACTGTTGCAGGTAGGATGAAGATATTCATCCAAAACTGAAAAACACTCGCTATGACAAAAGAAATCAAATGGATACAACTTGCATAGCTAAGAGTCTTCGAGAGCCAACCCTTGATCCATGTTGTTATCCTGTCCACAAGAACTTGATAATCCAACTTACTCAGCTTGCTTGAGATAAGTAGGACTCCCAAGCTGCGAATAGGGAGGCGACCAATAGAGAATGATGTGTGATAAGAAATAGGGTAAATACAACAAATTAGTAAGAACTATTAACCATCGGGGAATAATAGCAAGAATCTATCGAATAGTAGATTTCGTATATTTATGAAAATTTAGTTATTATTGTCATAATGTTGATAGTTATTGCTATACAAATGTATTTTTCCTTATTATTACTATTATTATTTATAGGTGGACGTCTAATTACGAGCCGAATAACATTAGATTTATTATTAGAATTTTAGGTTTATTTCCTATATAAATGTACTTTAAGCTTTACGTTGGAATTAATCAGAAATCAATATAAAAAACCTATTATTTTATCCCTCTCCTCTCTTCTAATCCTCGGTTCTATTCTTCCTTTCCCAATTCTCAATTTTCCTTCTCTAATCGTTAACTCTTTCTCTCAGTCCCTAAATTTCCTTTTTTTTTTATCTAACCGGTTATGTGAATTGCAAGAGCCCAACAAATCGTATTTCTTACATAGTATGAGATTTTAACTGCATTAACATTGACTTGAAGTCTCATTTTCCTTAGGGTTTTTGTCAAGTTGAGAATCTATACCTAATGCTCTAGGGATTAGTTGGTTGCACAACCATTGCGCAAAATAATGACCTAGAAGTGCATCATGACTACATGACCATTGGCTTGGATGCTAGCTAAGTAGAATCTAACATAATAAAGGACTAGGAGATTACATGACTATTTCACTCAATTGACTCCTAACTGGAGCTATGGGGATACCAATCCCAATACTTCATCTTTAATTGGTATGAGTCGTTTATTTGTGAGTTAGTTATATTGTTTGTTATAAACAATTCACCAACCAATTGTTAGGTTAAATATTAAAAAGTTTTTTTTTAATAGTTCATCTGTATTTCAAAATTAAAGATCAGTGACTACATTGCTCTCTCTGGAAAGTAAAGTGACCAAAAAGATAGGTGGCCTGTCCAGCCACATTTCGGTTTCTTCAGCTCTTCCTCTCAATCGTGCCATCCTATGAGCACATTCATTTCCTTCCCTTTTCCAGAATCTCCACCCAACATTTCCACACTCCTCCGCTACCTCACGAATTTCGTCACAAATCATCGCCCTCTCCATATCTGTGGTCTCTCGCCGATTAAGCTTCTGAATTAGGGTTAGGAAGTCCGATTCCAGCAGTAGCGCTTGGGGTTGGTGAGCTCGAGCTTGAGAATACAACCTTGAGGGTAACAGCTATATTACGCCACTTAATCAAGTTATACTTAACTTGATTGGGTGTAGTAAAATAGTAAAACCTCGAATCTATAACAATCAATATTCAAGAACTACACACAGTGGCGGATACATGGTGCTTTAGGGGTGTCTCGGGACACCCCTAAATTTTGGGACACGATTATTCAACCCCTGGTAGTAGTTTCGTATAGATAAACAAAATATAATTAGTAATCTGGGACACTCCTAAAATTTTAATAAATGATTATCTTACCCTCGATAGTAGTTTGCGTGATTAAAAAAATATAAGTGGTACTCTATGTTATTCAAATATAGGGCACTCCTATTATTTAACATCTTCTCTATTAGGTTATAACTCATTTGTTGTTCTATTTTAAACACTATGTAATGTTGAAAACACGATTTCTTATCCCCAGGGGTACCCTAATTTGAATTGATTTTATGGTTACAGTGCAAGTGTTGAAACAGTCTTTTCAACTTTGAATTACATCATGAACAAGGTAGAAATTGAATATGTGATCTAGTAGGATATACCGATTTGTTGAGCAGTGTACACACCAAATCTATCTTATATTTTTTTCGAAATTGAAAACACATCGTGGCTTTTTGTAAACATTTATACTAATTGGATATTTTATTATTTATATATTATTTAATTTAATTTTTGAAAGAGGACACCCCTACAAAAAATTTCTGGATCCACCACTGACTACACAAAGATCATTAATTTTTTTTTTTATATAAAAAGAGGATTTGAACAAGCCACCTGAGGATTGATACAGAAGGCATTTGCACTATTGCACCAACAATAACGTTTGATACTATAAAACCAGAGTTAAGCTACTAATCGTACAATTCTCGCAGGGGATGGCCCCCAAGTAAAACCCCATTTCTCGTTTCGTTTTCCATTTTTGCGTGCTAATTCGCATATGCTGGTAAGCCTAACAAGAAGGGGAAAGTATAGGCAGGCCTAATCAAAGCCCAATAGAGAACCGCGGGAGTTGGGTATTCTGTGCGCAGCCTGCCCCTGTCACTTCTCTCATCCCTTGTGCTTTTCTTTTTCCTCAACTCTCCGCCGCCTCTCCTCAGCCACTTCTCTTCTCCCTCTTAAACCTCAGCCTCCTCCCGTAAAACCCCTTTTCTCCCTTTCCCCGTTTTCGCTGTGGTGCCTAACAAGAAGGGGAAAGTCCAGGATTCCGAGCTCGTAAGACCCTTCTAATTGTTGTGCTTCTCCTTTCCCCTTTATGATTGTCCCGTTATCCTTGTTCCGGCGATTGATTGAAGTTTATGGGAATTCGGGATGGGAATGGTGGGCTGTTGTTGTTTCAAATGGAGGCTATTGTTTTCCGCACAATTTTGCTCTGCATCGTTATTCTTGGATGGTTTCATTAGAGTCTTTTGCCACTCGTGTTACCGTTGCTCTCAGTTGTTACCTCGGACGTGACTTCGTCGCTTTAGAGGTTTCCATCTGGGGTTCTCGGTTTGTTCATATTTGCTTCAGAAATGGTGTCATTTTGGCTTATGTATGGGGTGCATGTTTTCTTGTTAATAGTTCTTATAATGTTTCTTATTTCCCCTGTTTTGGAAATAGGAGGTCAAAATGGCTGGGAAATCGAATAGAGCGAGGAACAAGAGAGGCCCAAGTACTGCTGGGAATGCTTCAGATTCTGTGGTATCTTCTACGGATCCTGTGGTATCTTCTACGGATCCTGTGGCTGACAGTGTCACTCCTCCGGAGCCTGTCCATAGTGAGACTAATGGAGTAGCAGCAGCTGTGACTGAATCAGGTGACAGTAGGCCAGAGACCAACGAGCCTGAGACCACCAGTGCTGCTGCCGAACCAAAGCAGCAAGGTGATATTCTTCCGCATTCGCATTTCCTCAAAGCAACTTATGTTTATTCATTTGAGTATCTTCCTGTCATTAGTTGGCCTTATATCTGCTCTTTGTCCGGCGGAGACTGTGAGAAACGGACATGCAATACTGAAAATTTGGCATATATATATCATCCTTTATCTAGCTTCCGTGTATGAATCGAGTCACACCCAAATACAGGAAAGCATAGCAACTTTCCTTTTCTTGAGCAATGTAACATTAATTGCACTGTACTTGGTTCCCTTCCTACATGTCTTATTTTTTTGATGAAATTCCCTTCTCTCTGTTATTTTCTTTCATGCAGTAAGTTACAATTTATGTCCAACGGCACAATCGGTTTCCTTTTGATTAAGTTCTGAGAGTTTCTTCTCTTGCTTATATTATGAGCGCAGGAGATCTTCATCTCTTTGCTGTTCCCGTGAAAACACAAAGCGGTGAGAAGCTTGAGCTGCAGGTGAGTAAATTGTTACTATGTCCTTGGTTGAGACTTTTTTTTGCTTGCTTGATTCTCTTTTCCTCTCATTGACACAACAGCTTCTGAGAAATTTTACGTCTTACCAGGGAACTGTATATCATGTCTGCTTCATGATCTAATTTTCTTTATATTGTCATAATTTGAAATTAATATTAATGGTAACTTATGATTACAGCTGAACCCTGGGGATTCTGTCATGGATATAAGGCAGTTTCTGCTTGATGCTCCTGAGACATGCTTCTTCACTTGTTATGACTTGTTGATCCATACGAAGGATGGTTCAACTCATCAACTGGAAGACTATAATGAAATTTCTGAAGTAGCTGACATTACCACTGGTGGTTGCACTTTGGAGATGGTTGCTGGTACATTTAGCCCACTTACCTTGTTGTTAATAAGAGCTGAACAACAAACTTTAACTTTGGATGCCTTGCTTGCAGCCCCTTATGATGACAGATCAATCAGGGCACATGTTCACCGAACAAGAGATTTAATTTCTCTTTCCACACCTCATGCTTCTCTATCTACTTCACTTGCTCTGGAGTACGAGACGACACATAATAAGGCTTCGGCTTCAGGTTTCAGTATTCGTTTGTCCTATTGGTCACTATGTTCTTCAAAATTGCTTTTGAAGGCATGCCAACTGATGTTTTACTGCAATGCAGATGCTGTGAAAACAGAGGTGCCCGAGTCTGATGGGCTGGGGTTTATGGAGGATGTCACAGACTCACTTGGTAAATTGCTGTCATCCCCATCTAAGCAGGCGAAGTGCGTGGAAAGCATTGTTTTTTCATCATTCAATCCTCCCCCGAGCAGTAGGAGGTCTGCTTTCTACTTTTCATCCCATGTCTTTTTGGTTCTTTTACGATGTTTAGTATTTCTTGGTTGCTTCCAGTCATTGTGTTCTGGGAAGATAATTGTTATCTTTTTCTATTTTGCCCAGGCTTGTTGGAGATTTGATCTACTTGGATGTTGTAACATTGGAGGGTAGCAAATTTTGTATCACTGGATCAACAAGAATGTTCTATGTTAATGCTAGTACTGGCAATATCCTTGACCCAAGGCATGGAAAATCAACTTCTCAAGCTACCACACTTATTGGACTGTTACAGAAGATAAGCTCAAAGTTCAAAAAAGGTATAGTAAAATGTCTGAAGTCCTTTCTTTCTTTTAGAGCAGAAACTAAGATCTTGGTTTTATGCTTTTCTATGTTAAATTATAAAATTGTCTTACTAAATTCTTGCGTTGAAGCTTTTCGTGAACTTCTGGAGAAGAAGGCCTCAGCACATCCTTTTGAAAATGTCCAGTCTCTTCTGCCACCAAATTCGTGGCTAGGATTATACCCAGTACCTGGTAAGATTATCTTTCGGGTATTGCATGTATTATGTGTTGGTTGGGTAAAGTTTAAACCTTATTTTCCTCCGCTTCATTGATAATGAGTTAAAAGTCAGTATTCTCGTAGTGACAGGAATATCATTGCATGCTTCCTGTTTGGTTTCTCTCCTCTATTTACTTATCTGATGTGGAATGTTGATGGTAGAGTGCGTGTTTGATTTTTCATTGGTTGAACTAATGGAAGTTTCTGTTATTAGATCACAGACGCGATGCCGCCAGGGCCGAAGATGCAATAACGCTTTCTTATGGCAGTGAGCTGATTGGAATGCAAAGAGATTGGAACGAGGAGTTGCAGTCTTGTCGGGAATTCCCCCATACAAGTTCTCAGGAAAGGTATATAAATATAGGATCTTGCGGGAAGTTCTCAGGACACGCCATGCTACAAGTTCTCAGGAGTTGCAGTCTTTCTCTATGGCATCTATTTTGATGAGTTTTGTGAATATTGCTATCTGCTGGTTTTGCTAACCTTTAGTGCTTTCGATTGGACATAGGATCTTGCGGGATAGGGCTCTCTACAAAGTCACTTCTGATTTTGTTGATGCATCAGTTAATGGTGCTATTGGAGTAATCAGTAGATGCATACCTCCAATAAATCCAACTGATCCAGAGTGCTTCCACATGTTAGTGACATAAGTAGCCCCTTGTCCATGATGTATTGCAAGAGATATCTTTTTTGTTGTGGAGGTTCTTACGTCTATACTGATACTGTGATTTTTGGCTATAGGTATGTCCACAATAACATATTTTTCAGTTTTGCTGTGGATGCTGATCTCGAGCAACTGTCCAGGAAGCGTATTTCAGACAGTAATATGAAGCCTGATGCTAATGCTACTTTGTTATCTGAAAAGGTTTCAAATAATGAGTTGCATGGTGATGTGAGAGTTTCCTCTGGGGCAAAACATGATGGATCTGCCATTGTGGAAAGTAATGGTTCCACAGAGGTGGCATTTCCAGAGACACAGCTGGCTGAGAGTGAGCAGGCAACTTATGCTTCTGCCAATAATGATTTAAAAGGGACCAAGGCTTACCAAGAAGCTGATATCCCTGGCCTGTATAATCTTGCCATGGCAATAATTGACTACAGAGGGCACAGAGTTGTAGCTCAGGTGTGTACATCACAACTCACCCTTTTTCTTTCCCTTCTTTGTTTTTATTTCTTTTAACAGTAAAGTGCAAGTTCTTTCCTTATTTCTGTTTATTTCTGTTAATTACCAGAGTGTTTTACCTGGGATCCTTCAAGGGGATAAGTCAGACTCTCTTCTTTATGGTTCTGTTGACAATGGCAAGAAAATTTGCTGGAATGAAGATTTTCACTCCAAGGTTAGATGTGATGCATTTTCTACAGTAAATAACTGACTGAGAACACTTTCTGATACACGGAATGTGATCTGGGACTTTTTCAACTTTTTATAGACTGGAAATTGAATGTTTTGGCATCAGTTATATGCTCACCACTATGTTATCGGAACTGGTTTGAGTCATATTAGTGATAGATTTATGATACTAGTCTGGGCTTTGAGCATTTAGGTTGCGGAAGCTGCAAAACGCCTGCATCTAAAGGAGCACTTGGTTCTGGATGGATCTGGAAATAGTTTCAAGTTAGCTGCACCTGTGGAATGCAAGGGCATTGTTGGCAGTGATAACAGGTATTTTCATCTGATTTTGTTGCCTTTCCGGCCATTTGTTGTCACATGTGAAGGTGCATCAGTGAGGTAGCTGTTTGGTAGTACGTTTGTTCTATGCAAAAAGAACTCGATCAAAAGAAATTTGCAAATGAAAAGACTCTTTCATAGTTAATCCTGCTTTGTAGTGTGGTATTTTCAATATTAGGTAATTTCTTCCAGTGTCATCTATAAGCTTTTCCAAGATCAATATGTTACCATATCTAACCAACTAATGCTATGCAAAATCTAAGTTTTCATTGCTTTCTGATGCTTTAGCTCTGATATTGTACGTCTGAATATCCTTCCTCAAATACAGGCATTATCTCCTTGACTTGATGAGAGTAACTCCTCGTGATGCAAACTATACTGGGCCTGGCTCGCGATTTTGCATTTTGAGACCTGAGCTAATTGCTGCTTTCTGTCAGGTGATTTTCTTTTCTGCATGTGCATTGTCAGCTTAACCTTTTTGAATTCATATCTTGAAATTAGAATCTGCCAGTTATCTAATGACGACCTTAAAATCCTAATAATTAACCAAAGTCCTCGACATGATTAGTTATTACAAACTGTTTTCGACAAACATTCTGTGCAATAGGTTGCAGGAAGATAGGAAAATTCCAAATCTTCCCAAATACCCCTGATCACGGGACATATAATTGTCACTATAAATAAGAACCAAAATGCCATCTGTAATAATTAATATTGACAAACTGGAAGTAAGAGGGCTCGATAAGTATCCGAACTCTCAATAAAAAAAATTATTGATAGTGCAAGATCACAATTCACATCTATTGATAAATAAAACCGTTCCCTTTCCTATTCGGTCAATAGGCTGAAGCTCTAGGGAAATCAAAGGTCAATCCCAAATCTGACTCCGATGCTAGCACTACTCAAGTTTCTTCTGAAGTTGCTTCTATTGGCGACGAGCAGAAGTCTGTGGCCCCTGTTGACAGCCAGGTGAGTCCTGAATTTTGAGATAATATGAATGGCTCGAAGGTCAACATTTGAATGGACTTGATCATGATAAACATGTTTTAGGTTGCAATGTCCTATATCTTGCATTTGTGCTTTATTTACCTAATGTATTCATGCAGTGAATAAAAACAACTTCCTGTACATAGAGTTTGTAATCTAGTCAAACACTATTGTCTGGAAAACAGTTGTTTGAATCTTTTGCCATTTTATCTTGATTGGTAGGAGGTAGCTGTCAAGGTTGATACTGCTGCTGAACATCCTTCTGCACCTGCTGGAAACTCTGAATTGGATGATGAAATACTTTTTAACCCTAATGTTTTTACCGAGTTCAAGTTGGCCGGAAACCCAGAGGTGAACCTTTTGCGGTCAAAGTCTTTTTTTCTTACCTGTCTGTTGGAACTTCTTTTTGTCTCACATTTCCCCCCCCTTTTAACCAGGAGATCACGAAGGATGAAGAACACGTGAAAAAAGTTAGTTCATATCTGGCTGATACCGTGCTTCCAAAGTTTATTCTAGATCTTTGCACGCTTGAAGTATCACCTATGGATGGGCAAACACTTACCGAGGCACTTCATGCTCATGGAATCAACGTGCGATACATTGGAAGGGTGAGGTTATAAAGTATTTGATTTTTTGGTTAACCAAGCTGAATTATTACCTTCGAACACTTGTGCTTGAAGCCAGCCATCTTTTTTAGTTTGACATGTGAGTATTGGAGTTATAAGGAGGCTGCCAATATGGCTATAGATCTATAGCATCTTTCTCTCGCTTCCTCATTTCACATGTATAATTTTCAGGTTGCTGAAGGGGCAAAACATTTACCTCACTTGTGGGATCTTTGTTCTAATGAGATTGTTGTCAGATCTACCAAGCATGTTCTGAAGGTGATTGTTGATTGCTAATTAATTTGATGACAGCTGCAATTTATATCAAATTTGTTTTTGTATCTAGCATTTCGTGTTAAGTTCTATTAAATACATCTTTCCTATGCCTTGAGCACCTCTCCTTCTCACAAGTGAACTTGAAATGCAGGATCTGCTGAGAGATGTAGAAGATCACCACCTTGGCCCAGCAATCTCACACTACTTTAACTGTTTCTTTGGGAATTGTCAATCTGTTAGTACAAAAGCTGCTACTGATGATTCCCAGACAAGATCACTGAAGAAAGTATGATTCCCTCTCATAAGCATTTCATTATCCATTTTAATTTCTATTAGATACATTGGATTAAATAATTATTAGATCCATGTAGTTTTCTGATACTGACTCGCTTTGCTATTTAACTTCAAATAATATGCTTTGCAGAACCAAGCTAATAATCAGTCTTCTGAAAAATCTAAAGACCAAACAAGGTGGAAGGGTGCCTCAGCTAGAAAGAATCAATCTTCATATCTGAATGTTGGCTCAGAAATGTTATGGTCTGAGATACTGGAGTTTGCCAAGCTCAAGTATCAGGTGCAATCCATAATTCATTTGCATTTCCAGAGTATCAACGATACATGATTCATCTTACTCTTAACAAGTTTCTATGTTCTACTCTGTGATATTTGTAACATAAAAATCATGATTTTTGAACTCTATGTTGGTTAATCTATTTGGTTTTTGTGTGTTGCTATTTCATGTTATTCATTTGATTTCTTAATGATAATCTCTGTTAGTCATCAAGGAGATTTATTATACCATGCAATAGTTTGGAACTGAAATATTTTCCTCATTGCATAGTTTGACTTGCCAGAAGATTCAGTAACACGGGTTCGAAAAGTCTCAGTTATCCGCAATCTTTGCCAAAAGGTAAATTTCTGTTATGTGAAAGTTCAATTGTGCGAGTTTCATGCGGTAGAACTACCACTGATTATGATCATCTTACTCGGAGGAACTTTTGGCATGTACAATCAGGGTGTTAGCCATTATCAGTTCGTTGAACTAACTTGAACTTGAGAATTTGACCTCATGTCATGTTATATAACAGCTGGGCATCTCAGTGGCAGCTCGCAAATATGACCTGAATGTGGCAAACCCATTCCAGACATCGGATATTTTGGATCTCAGACCTGTGGTGAAGCATTCTGTTCCGGTGTGCTCAGAAGCCAAAAAGCTTGTGGAGACAGGAAAAGTTCAATTAGCTGAGGTATGATTATGAAAAATTAGAAGTTACCAATGATGAATGGGCGAGATGTGAACTGGAAGCATGACCATTCTTCATTATGTCACTATTACATAGTCGGTCTAGTGGTAATGTGGGGATGATAACATCCGCCCCACCCTTGGTATAAATCTTGGGAGCATCAACTATAAAATGAAAAGTATTACAAGTGTCTTCACTGGACAATCAGTTTGTTGACTGTGCATGAATTTGAAGTTGTACTCCAGCGCTCATCTTACACTTAACAGAACATGAATATCCCTAATGTAAACGATGCTGTTTAACGTCTTGGAGATGACTGTTTTGGATCTTCTTACTCAACTCGTCCTCTTTCAGGGCATGCTAAGTGAGGCCTACACATTATTCTCGGAGGCATTCTCCATTCTTCAACAGGTTTCCTATTGTACCTTCTTACATTTCATTGTAGATCTCTCATGTCGTCAATCTTATTAATTTTTGTCATGTATTCTAGGTTACTGGGCCAATGCATCGTGAGGTTGCCAACTGCTGTCGGTAATATTCACGTCTCTTCTTCCATTCTATTACTTTCTGATCTTGTGAATCAAATCTGGGAATTCTGGCGGGTTGAAGTCAACAATAGGGGGAAAAAACTGTACTTATGGTGATATTGAGCTTGTTAATTCTCTGTTCTAATATCGATTTAAACTTCACCTGATGCTCTCAGGTACCTTGCCATGGTTCTGTATCATGCTGGAGATATGACTGGTGCAATAATACAACAACACAAGGAGTTGATCATAAATGAACGCTGCCTAGGCTTAGATCACCCTGACACTGCGCACAGGCATTATCTCTTTCCCCTCATGTTATATCCCTGATATGGCCCTCTATATTTACTTTCATGCAAGTTCTTGCACCCTATATTTATATCACGTTAATTGATTCCTTGTGTTATTGCGAAATTGTCATTCAATCTTCACATCATGAGATATGTTTGTTCTGTGGTGATAGTGAAGGAAAGGTGTATTTGGTAAGGTTTTAGTAGTAAAAAGTGATTAATGGGATGGTAAATAGTTTATTTATAATACAGGAATTTTGGGATTTTGGGATATTACTATTATTCATGGGACTTTTAAGCGTAGATTCTTATTTCAAAGTGGAGAAGTTCAAAATGGATTTTTTTAGGGAGGTGTCTATGAATCGATGTTCTAAGAAGTGCATTTCAGCTTCTTGAGTTGACTTTTCTCCCCAAGCTTTTTTTGACAAGTTGAAAGAAACAGTCATTATATTTCTTGAGATTGATTTCCTTGCTTATTTATTGCAGCTATGGAAACATGGCTCTCTTCTATCACGGTCTCGACCAAACAGAACTTGCATTGAGGCATATGTCCCGTGCATTGCTCTTATTGAGTTTATCGTCGGGACCTGATCATCCTGACGTGGCAGCAACTTTTATAAACGTTGCAATGATGTACCAGGACATTGGAAAGATGAACACAGCTCTTCGCTATCTACAAGAGGCCTTGAAGAAGAACGAGAGGCTTTTGGGTGAAGAGCATATTCAAACTGCTGTTTGTTATCATGCTCTAGCTATTGCCTTCAACTGTATGGGAGCCTTCAAGCTATCTCACCAGGCATGCATTCTTTAAAATACGTCTTTCATAATTTTAATTTAGGGTTTCTATTTTAGCTTAAGCAAAATACACCTTTTTTAATCCGTAGTAACTAGTGTGAATAGAAACTATTTGCTTGGAACTTTGAAAATGATTGTGTTGATGGGATATGTGCTTATCTTAACTAATAAAAAGTAGCTGATGAGATGAAATCGTTTTTCTAATGAGAAATAAATGAGTGATTTTTTAGGAATGATAATTGCGGGTAACTTTAACTACTCGAATCTTATTTGAAAGGCCACATTGCTGAAGATGAAATTTTATTCATGGGGAGACTTTAGAGTTGCATAATATCTAGGATTTTGGATCAATAGTTGTCTTAAAATTTTTGTGTTTGTTTTGGCTTATGAGTCAAATTTTTTCTTGTAGTGAATAATGTGCAATTCATTTCATTTTTAACAGCACGAAAAGAAAACATATGATATCCTTGTCAAACAACTTGGCGAGGAGGACTCTAGAACACGTGACTCTCTAAATTGGATGAAGACTTTCAAGATGCGTGAACTTCAGGTATCTGCATGTTGATCTGAAAGAATCCTGTACTTTTTCTTTTGCTTCTACTCTACATTGTGCTCGAATTAAAAGAAAATGTGTTCTGCTAGATGAATGCACAGAAGCAGAAAGGCCAGGCTTTGGATGCAGTTTCTGCCCAGAAGGCAATGGATATATTGAAGGTTCTTCTGTCGAACTCTTTGGTTTACCTGAATATGCTTTGTTGGTTTTTAATGGGTCGTTTTACTGATAGATTTTAGCCTTAAATGTATAGCCGTTTTTGCATGAAATTTAGTGTCTTGTTTAGATGTTTGTTAAATCTTGGACAATGGTATGAAGAGATTGGAGGAATATGAGGGATTTGATTCTATTTCATCTTGGGCATAGGTGACATCTTCCAACTTTTGAAAACCACACATGATGTCGTTTGTCAAGGCAATGATCCATCAAGAGTAGTTAGCGAATATGGTTTGAACATAAGACTTGAGATCCACCATACTCATTCTACTTCAAAACTATTTAGTACTTGGTAGTCCAACAATTTAAATGTCCCATCAGCCAGCTAAACGACCCCCAAAGCTTATTATCCGGTTTTAATCGGTTTTTTCTTCTCGGTTTTGCAGGCTAATCCAGACCTAATACATGCATTCCAAGCAGCAGCTGCAGCTGGGGGCTCAGGGAGTAGTAGTAGCAATACACCTTTGAACAAATCGATTAATGCTGCACTAGTTGGCGACTCACTCCCTAGAGGCAGAGGGGTAGATGAACGGGCTGCTCGAGCAGCAGCTGAAATCAGGAAGAAGGCAGCAGCTAGAGGTATCTCAATCCGGCCCCAAGGTGTCCCTGTCCAAGCTCTGCCACCTCTAACTCAACTGATGAACATAATCAATTCCGGGAGGACACCTGATGCAGCTGCAGTTGACTCTTCAGAGGTACCAAATGGTGCGACAAAGGAGGCAAATGGTGAGATAACATCCTCTGCCATGCCAGTGGAAAGTCCCGAGAAGGATGAGAAGTCGCGGCAACAACAACAGCCTGCTGCTCCGGCTGGTCTGGGCAAGGGGTTGGGGTCATTGGACCCTAAGAAAGGGAAACCGAAATCCAAAGTTGCAGGTTGAAGTTCTTGGGGATCAGATGTGTTCTTTCTTCTGATCCCCTCCCCAGTGAGCTGGGATCACCGAGTGTTTTGGACGGTTGGAACTACTGCTAGTGAGATAAGGTAGCATTGGTTTTCTTTTTGAGATATAGACAATTGGTGAATAAAGGGTAAATTGCATGGTTGGATTACTGTTCATTTTTGTCACTAAAGATGTTTAATTGTATTAATAGTCATTAGTTAAATAGTTCAAATTTGGTTATTCTTTCGAGATTTTTTATTAGTGAACAGCACCAATTTTATGCCAACCTGCAACCTGACCCTTTCTTTTTGACCGGCCGACCTAAAAAATGCCCCACGACTCGGATGTCTAGACCTAATCAACTTTTGCTTATTAATCAATCCATTGAGGGTGAGTTTTGTCGGACAAAATCTCAAATACACGTTTTAAAAAAAAAAAAATTAAAAATACGCGTTTTATGAAATTTTTTCAATCTACACATGTTTGGGCATCACTGCGGCCAACAAAAGTAGTGAATGCATCACTGCAGTAGAGGACAACCGTGAATGCATCGCCGCGGCTGTTGACCGTGGTGAATGCTTGATCCACACTGAAATTTCAAACATACGTAACTTTGCGCTTCGTTATCCGATCGTAGAGAATTTTTTTCGATTTCACATAATTTTTTGAGATCTTGCAAGTCGCAAACAGTCAAAAGCAGTTTGGTCTCGCCTTCGTACCCAAAAATGTCGTTTGTTAGCCCGAACGAGTAATTTTTCGATTTTTCCAAACTTTGAAATACCATAACTTTATGCTCTACAATTCGAACGTCATGAATTTTTTCTTTTGATTTTGCATAAACTTTTAAGGAATATAACTTTTATAGTAGCTATAATTTCCGAATGTATTTGGATTTGTAAAAAGTAAAGGCAAAGTTATTCCCAAAATCCCGTATATCCAAGACTATTTCCTGTTTTGAAAATTCATTCCTAGTAAAAGTTTTAGTTCTCAAAAAGTTATGCGAAATAAAAAATAGTGACGTTTGGATTGCGGAGCACAAAATTATGGCCTTCCGAAGTTTGGAAAAATAAAAAAATTGCTCGTTCGGGGTAGCAAATGACGTTTTTTTCGTGACGAAGGAGGGACCAACCACCTTTGACTGTTTGCGGCTTTGCAAAATCACGAAAAATTATGCGAAATAAAAAAAAATCCGCTACAATCGAATAACGGAGCGCAAAGTTACGTATGTTTGAAGTTTCAGCGCATGCCAGGCCTTCGCCGCAACCGATAGCTGAGGTGATGCATTCACTACTGTCCTCACCCGCAATGATGCATTTCACTGCGTTTGTCAGCCACAGTGATGCCCAAACATGTGTAAATTGAGAATTTTTCATAAAACGTGTGTATTTTGTGATTTAAAAAAAAAAAACGTGTGTATTCGGGAGAAAAATCCAGTTTTGTCCACTGATTGCTCATCCGTCGGGTTTGACTACCCTGACTATCGTTGAGATCTGCTTCCAGCGGCAACTGACAAAGCAAGGTCACCATAGCACTCCCACAAAATTTGCTCAGCTTGGTGAATAACTATTGGTAACTGAAAAAGAAAATCTCAATTTCAATAAACACTAGACGTGTTGAAATTGCAAAGGAGAATAGCTGGGTAATTCACTGGAGAAGGAGATGGAGCAAGGAGGACGCGCGTTTGGCCGCCTTGGTAACGAAGCTTGTCGTCGAGACAGCGAGGAAAGCTTGCCGCCGTAACTACTGAGGAACTTGGGGAGACTTAAGGGACGAGGTTTTTTGACAGAGCGGAACGGGGAGAGTTTGGATTGTCTACAAATTACTATAAGGAAATGTCAATATATCCTTTTCACCACGTCAGCACATACTAACCAACTCGCACTAATCGGAGGGACACAATTGTAACTTTATTTTCCAATCTTCTTCCTACATTCTCGCCGAAATCCCCAGCGCCAGTTATTTTCTTTCTCTCCTCGCCTACTGCTTTCTCTCTCTGCTCACCATGTTCTTCGTATGTAAGTATATAACCGTTGCCCTGAAATTAATTAACTCCTCCCCGCCCATTATGTTCCCTTCTCGCAATTCCCTTTCCCATCAACTAATTCAAGCTGTCTGCAGGTTCACTCAATCCATCCCTCCCTCTCTCTTTTCCATATGCCCCCACGTTAAGGTCGGAAATCAATTAGATGAACTTGTCATGCACTTATATGTTGTTGTGGTTTGTTCCATGGTGGTTTAGAGCTGGGAGCCTGGAATGGGTTTCAAAACTAATTTGTTTGAATTTTTTATTGATCTATTGCATATATTTAACTAATTTCAAATAAATTCCTCAAGGAGCATTCACCCTTTTTGGAAGTCCAAGACGGGTCGTGCCTTGCGAATCTATACGATGAATCATGATCATGGCTGTGAAAATTAAGGTACTTCATTCAAATGAGTAACATATCAGTTATTAGATTGCTGATATGACTTGAATCGGACTATCAGCCGCTACGAATGGAAGTCACGCGGGGCTCAATGTTATTTGGGTTCGTGTTTTGAGCCTGGTTGTAATCGCTTTTCCTTTACCATATTGGATTATGGTTAGACCTTGGAGAAGTAGTATAAATACTTCTCATACTCCTCTGTAATTTGTATCTCCTCAAATATAGTGAAAGCTGGCTCTCTCCTGCCCGTTGACTAGCTAACACACATTGCGTTAGTGAACCATGTAAATCATGTATTGTGTATGTGCACTTGCGTTTTCTTACATTGTCGAATCCTCCTATTTCCTGATACACAGAAAACATCAGTAACGCACATAGTATAGTATAGTTTTGAAGACGAAACTTCACGTATGATAATAATTGTTCTTCTCTTCATTGCCCTTAATTGATTGCAATAATGCTGCCGAAACATCATTGATCATTGCCATGACGCTTTTTGTTGCCAAAATCTTTCATTTTATTTCTACTAATAATCGGCTTAATGTTGTGTTGCTATTTGCTAATTATGTCCTTAATATGATGTATTTTTTACATGTGTATCTAATGTATCCACCCAAATTGTAGTTTATTTGGGCGTTCCATTGTGATTTACATTAGGGAAAGGGTATATCTGCTATATAACTTCATTATAAAATCCACTTTGTCCATTATTTTCATAGAATCTGACTTATTGAATCCAATTTTACCTACTTTTTATTATATTTGAAATTTGAATCTCCTGTATTGGTTCAAAAGCATTAATCATTCAGTTATTTGTTTTTGTTGAGGAATTTGTTGTATACAGAGTGGGTCTGAACTCTGAAGTAATGAGAGCCTCGACTTAGCAAGAACGGAAAATCAATTGGAATTGAAGGAGGTCGCCCACTTGAAAGTTGAAATTAGGTTTAAACTTCTTTAAGTGACTAATAAACGTTGTTAACATTGATCGCGCCTCATTGGAATCGTCGGATTTTTTTAATGATATTAGGTAACTACAATTCTCAAGTGATTTGGTCAAGTTTAATTGAATAGTTCATGCAAAATAGGTCGAGTATGGATGAATGAGCCGCATATTGATCCGGATTCCAATACTTAGGTCATGATTATTCCTTTGGCATGACGAGCAAGAGATGTTTATGATTTCATTTCTTTTAACCAATGGATAGTTATATTTTATCTAACGTTTTAAGTATGAGAATAAAGTTTCTTTTTCTAATTTAAGCCTTTGATAAGTAGATCTTATGCAAGTGGATGAATATCATGGTATCATAATATTTAGTCAATGGCTTGCTAAGTAGTGATCCTTGACGTATTTTTGGGTTGGACCGGTCATATTTCTATGTATAGGTGTGAATTCAATTAATTACAATGAATTTGGAAATACAACAATTCTACAAGTAAGAATGTTGATAAAAGATAATTTATCGCTAATGTAACTGATATTAGTCTTTACTCCATATACATATTGAATTTCGGGAATCAAATATATGATATAATGGTCAACGTGACTCTATGTAATAATATGTGCGTTGATCTTTAAAAACAAACAAATAGCAATATATCAACCCACTTTTTACCCCATTATGCACCTCTGTTGATCATTCATTCATTTGTATGTGTGGGCTGATGACCCTCCTAGCCCTCAACAGCAAATATTGGGTACTTAAAAACTAATCCAACAGATCATATGACAATTTGAAATTCAAAGCAAAACCCGGCCAATAGGCCGGGCCCTATGCTAGTAATTTATAAGGAGAAGGTTGTTCTTTTGTTGGGTGTTTGGGAAGGGAGGATTCCGTCCGCCTGCTTTTCTTCAATCTAATGCCAATGTGGGATTCGGGAGCTCAGAAGAGAAAGATCCATAACGAATTGATGGGAGGAAAACTCACGATGAAGAAAGTCGATTTCTTCTTCCCAAACCTAGCGTTGATTCATCTTCTGACGACGATTGGGCGATCTAGGGATTTTGTGGCCACTTAAAAAAAAAAAAAAGGCAACGGTTGGGACTTCGTCGAGCGGATATGCTCCGTCGTGCTGATGAAACCATGTGGGTTGGAGTTTGGGAGGTTCGTTGAGCTGATGATAGGGAATGAGATAGGGAACGAATCAGGTCAGTAACCTTATGGTGAGTAACAATGAGTAACCCGTCCACATCAGCATGACATCAGCATCCCTCTCTCTCCTGCAAATTCTTTAATTTTCTCCTCCTTAATCTTTGATGGACGATTTCTCACTCGTTTTAAGTCGATTTTTTTTTGCACAGTTAGATCAGATTAATTTTTCTATTCAAAATGATATCCACTTTGATATATTTTTCAAACAAAAAAAAACCCATTTTTTACCAGTCTATACCATATGGTATTGACTGGTATTGAAATAAGAGCGTACCTATGGTTTGAAAAGCGTACCATGGCGGTATGAACAAACCAAGACTGTAAGATGGTTGAATACATGATAGTAGAAGTATATTAACTGTCATTTACGAATTTTAACATTGTATTGTATAGTATTATGTGGTATTTTTTGGTCCTGTAA